TGCAGGGCTCATCCAAACTCTCCAGCTGCAACAGTGAGCAGGACCATTGCGCGCACACACACACACACACACACACACACACACACACACACACACACACACACGCTCTACAAGCTGACTGCTTTAGTGCTCCCCCTTTTTTTTTCTTTTTTTTTTTTTTTAATTAATGGCAGACATGGATCCAATCGAAGGAGTTTGTGCAGACAGCCCCCAGGGCTCACTCTCAGCTGACAAGGAGAAGAGCCACGGCTATAAATCCATTGTGGGCTTTTTCTGCCTTTTCCCGCTGGTGGCTTTGTTGGCTGCGGTTGGCGATCCCTTTGGAGTTGCTGCTCAGAGAAGTCAGGTAGGCACAGGACCAAATTCTCAAAGACTGGGAGTGGGGGATCAGACAACAGAGCCTGGGGGCTCTGCCTGTGTGTGTCTGTGTGTTTAGAAAGCTTGTCATGTCATGTCAGGCCCTAACCCACCTGGAAATGCCTGTGTGGCTGCCTTCTCAAGGTCAGGGTCTGCATGTAGCTAGCGAGTCTCTCCCTCCTTCCTGGTGCAAAAAGCTCATCCTAGCAAGGGAGACCCTAAGACGAGTCAGAGGCTGACTCCAAACTTGAAGGATGTGGCAGATGTTTCCCCCACTGCAGCCAGCAAATGGGGACTTAGCTCAAGTCCTTGGAGTCTTTTCCCATAATGTGGTATGTAGGAAAAGCCCCCGGTTTGGGGCCAAGAGACCCCCCCATCCCTGCCTCCTCCCTCCTATCCACAATGCAGTGTGTCTAGTGCTTTGCCCTGTCCTCTCTCAGCAGAAGCAGCAGAGCTCCCTTCACTGGGCATTCCCCAGACAGGGCTATTGGTGTGGGATGAAATGTACCCCTGCTCCCCGATGTTGCCCCCGCTTCCCCTTGCCAGAGCATGAACAAGTCCTGCACCTACAGGGATGGCTGGCTGCAGTTGTGGTGGCTGCTGTGTGTTTTAGAGGCATCAGTTACTGAGGTCTTTCAGAGCAGATACAAACCCAAGGGGAACTAAAGTGAAGCCCTGGGGCTCAAATGAACTGATGTTAATTTTGCTGCTTATACAATCATAGAGAAGTAGGACTGGAAGGGCCCATCAGAGGTCATCTGGTCCAAACCCCTGCTCAAAGCAGGATCCGCCCCATCCCAACCACCTCTTACAAGTCCTCATCTAACTTTTGCCTGTAGCTACGCACTCAACCCTGCTGCAAAACTATGAGGCATATCGCTCAAAAACACCAGAAGCTCCCTAACCTGCCACAGGTGAAGGCAGGGGATGCTCCAAGGGTTGTTAAAATGCACTTTAAAAAGTGCCCCCCCACACACACACACACATGTCTGTACCAATGTCACCATGGGGGTGATACTCCTTCCTTATGTCAAGTCTTGGGAAAGTTCCTCCCTACACGTGTGCCCCCTTCCTCTCTTTGAGCCTGGCAGTAGCACCCTCGCTTTGTTGCACGTGCTTAGGCCTGAATACCACTGCCTTGGTGGGAATAGCAACCTGTGAGTAGGAGCCTTCCCCCAGCCTGTTGCTTGGGGCCTGGCACCTATCTCTTACCTCCCACACCTGCCCCTCATCTCCTTTACATCAGGTGCTCACCTTTGCAGCCTAGGCCTCTCATCACCTGGCCTTTCCCTATGAAATGTTTCTGCCTCAAGAGCAAGAGGCCGGCTCCCGGGTGGCCCATGACACCAGCCTCCATTGCCCATGCTTCATGCCTTCCCCAAAAGGCCTCCACCTCACTGCAAACCCCTTCAGCCCCCCTCCTTACTGCTCTTCTTGGCTGAGATGCCCAGACAGTACATAACAGCAGGAAGGATGGCAGTATGCTGAGGCCAGTGCCCACCAGCCTCATGGGCATGGGCTCAGGCCAGCTCTACCCTACACTGCGGTGTCAGCAGGACTTGGACACGATCGCAATGCTAGCCGAGGAGGCGTCCTGTACAGGAGGACATGTCCTGGGGGTCTGGCAGCCCACTCTATTGCCCTTTAAGCTCTCAGAGGGGCTTCAAAGGGCCTCAGCATGTCACAGAACTGCTCCTGATTGACGCCAGGGCAAGCAGGGTGTGCAATAATCAGACACAGCAGGGAGGAGGCTGACTTGCCTAGCAAAGCAGAGGCAACTCAGATGTGACTGCTGCCCCTGAGAGATCTGTGGGCCAGCAGAAGAGCAAAGCAGCCTACAAATGATTACTCCCTAATACCCTGCTTCCCGTCCTGCCTGAGCCCCAGTGTGGCAAGGGGCTCAGACACTCCTGTGCCCAGCCAGCAGAGCAGGGTTGCTCAGATGCTGGAGAAATGCTCCTTCAAGCTGATGAAACAGCAGGGTGGAAGGGGCAGTACCCATGGCTTCAAGCAGGTCTCAGTGCATTTGAAGGGCTCCGGGGTGGGGGGAATGGCAACGACTGAGCCTTCAGTCAAAGCAGGGACCACTCAGGCATAGTGGACTCACATGTACGTACTAACAGAGCACTGTTATGGTGGGGGGTTGGGGGAAGAGAAGGGACGGTCCTGGAGCACTGACAGGAAAGGCTGGTGCTAGCAAGCTCCCCAGGGATGTGGCTGAGCCACCTGCAAATGGCACATGGCACATGGCCATGGTCTGGCACGAGCCAGGTTTGCAACTGGAGCAAAGGGCTCCCTCCATGCCATGCAGCTAGCCATTCCTCCCCTAGGCCCCCTCAGAGTCCATCAATTTGAAGTCCCCAGCATTTGTCAGTCCATGGTGAAAAGTGCACCACAACCGTCCCAGGTTGCTGCCAGGTGAGGCTAAAACCTGAGCTCAGAGCAAGAGGGAAACAGACTCTGCTGGCACCTGACCAGCGCAGCACACTGGGCTGCAGAACAACAGGTCCCCGGGCTGCTGAGCACTCGGTGCTAGCTACACCTATTGCATGCCAGTGCTGGCTAGTGGCTAGACCAAGGTCTGTCGCCACCACACCCTGGGTGCTGGCCTTGCTCCTAGTACAGCTGTGTGACCATAACAGGTAGGTCCTGCCCCAGCCAGGTGCAGCATACAAGAGCGCAAGGAGATCTTGCCATCCGCACGGGCAGGCCTCTGAGCCTTCAGTCACTGATATTTATTGTTGCCACCGATATGGTTGGTGTCACCCACTGCTTTCGTGCTCCTGGTGCCACAGCCCAGGGCAAACAGGCAGGGTTTCAGCACCACGACAGGGCACAGACTTGGAGAAGGGAGGTTTTGCAGCCCCGGTCCCCTACCAACCGCCACTCCCTGCCACCAAAACTGAAAGGCTTTTGTAGCTTGCTGAGCCAGGCTACCTGCCTAACCCAATAATGGCAGGGCAGCAGCAAACTGAGGCCTGGCTTGTGCTGTCTGCTTTAAAGAGGCTCCAGCATTTCCAAGGCCCCAATTTATTCTGAAGGCGTTTCAGGTCCACAGTCCAGTGCCATAATGAGCACTTGCACAATGGGCCGCCTGTGACTCACGCACCCAGAACCTCGCTGCACGCTAGGGCCAGCCTGGTGAGTGCCAGCAGAAGGAAATGAGCTGCGAGCTTGCCAGGCAGGGCTGCAGCAGTGCCTGAGGCTGGAGCTTCATGCCCCCTCAGTGATGCTGAGCTCAGATGTGGCCCTCAGAGGCTGGGCTGTGCTGCACAAATCAAGGCTTCCTGCTGGAAGAAAGGCCTGTGGGTCCAAGCACTCTGACATATTGCTGCTTTCCCCTGTTGTCCTGTCTGTGCACATCCCCAGAAATTGCTCCCAATAGCCAGCCCACCCCCTGCACCCTCAGGGTAGGGGCCCACAGGGACAGGGAGGCAGGCAATCACCTGCCCCAATTCAGAGCAAAGTTGCCACTGCCCTTTGGTGGCTGCTTTGCGGTGGGCAGAGTGGAGACTCCAGCCCACAGCCACCCATGCCCGAGCGCTTTGAGCTGTTTTCAGGCACGGGGGAGGTGTATGACTATGCCAGCATGGGGGGAACCCCAGGAGAAAGCAGGGCCCAGTGTGCATGTGTTCCCCAAAAGGCCACCTCCAGGCAGGGGCAGGGAGGCTTTGCTGGTACCATTCATTGGGTCTAAGTGGGAGCAGTTTAGGAGCACTGCAGCTGGGCATTGCTTTACTGTGCTCACACCAGCAGCCCTATCCCTTTGGGAGGGGCAGCTACGAGATGTGCCAGCTCACAGGAGACCCAAGCCCCAAGTGCCCCAACCCAGGTAGCGCTGGGCAAGCTGCACACACCCCATCGCCACATCTGACCTCCTGTTTGTCTTTTAAGGAAGACGCCACGTTGCCTCTTTTTGGCGGGTGGAGGGCCCCGGATCCTCCCGGCTCAGCTCTCCCACCCCACCCTGCTGTGCGGAGACGACGCTACACCCTCACGCCAGGGCACCTCAAGTGGGACCACTTCAACCTGACATACAAGTAGGCATGCGCTGATGCCATGGGGCTATGCTGTCTCTATGGCCTTGAAGCTTGAAATGCCCTTGATATAGTTGCAGTCTGCTGGGGTTGGGCAGAATGCAGGGGGCGAGGCCAAGGCGAGTGGGGGGACGAGGGTTTCTCAGAGCAATGGCACATGCAACCCCCTGTGTTACGCATTAGCAGCACTGCAGTGCCAGGTGCCCACGGTCCATGCTATGGCTCACCAAGCACACGCTCCAGATAGGGCTTGCACTAAGAGGAGCTATACCGCAGGAGACCTGCTGCTTGCTAAAGCTGCCAGGACTGCCAAATTCGTAGGGACTATCCTGCAGATCAGGAGTGGATTCTGGGTTGAAACATCTGGGCAAAAGGTGGAGGCAGGCGTCTGCTCGGTGCAGTGTGTGGCAGCTTAGCCTGGGTGGGATTTCTGAAGGGGGCTCCACCTTGGCGTAACGCTCCTGTCAGTGAAGGTGCTGGTACCACTCTCCTGGGTTTCAGCAAGAACAGCACTAAGTCCCAAGTGCTTTTGAAAACCCCTCTACAGACGCCCCTTTTTGCATCCAAGGCTTCTGCAGGGTGTTCGAATCACGCAGCGCAGCCCTTTGGAGTCGGGGGCAACTTCCGTGCCCCTGGCTGTATCGCCTGTGCACAAACACTTGAGTCCAGAATATTTCGTGGTTTCATGCCATGGGCTGCAGTGTAACCCTCAGATGCAGCTGCATTTCAGTGGCATGAGAGCAATTTAAGCTTCTGGAGGAGGTGAGGATGGAAAAAGGACAAAGTGAAAGCACAGTGGTAGCATTTTCTTTTGTGAAATGAGCACGATTCTGCCTTGGCAGCCAAAAGATAAGGGGCCTAAATTAACACTGTGATAAGCTAGTGCTGTTCCTTTGATGTGCTGGCATTGGACCAGATTGGCACAGTACAGCAAGTATGCCCATGGGCAGCCTACATCCCCCATACACACTTGGTCCCTGCTCAGAGGGCTTCCCCCACAAAAAGCATCCCAGGAGCTGTTTGTGCCTCTTAGGGAAGCTACAGTGCACTAGACAATGCCACTTGTTGGCTGGCTCCAACACACAGCAGGCACAGGGCAGGGAGTACGCCTAAGGACACACGCTGGAGCTGGTCCAGAAGTAGCGGGAGCAGCAGGTGCAACCACGTGGTCCTGGTAAACCCCAGGCAATGAACCCAGCAGCCACTTGTGGTTTGCACTGCCACATTGGCAAGCATCCTTGAGGTAGCTGAAGAAAGGCCCATTGTCCATGCCCTTGGAGAGAGGAGGTCACCCCCTGCTCCCCCACTCCTGCTCTCCTGGCAAGCCCGAGGTCACTCCAGGCATGGCACAGTCTTTTTAAATACACACACAGACACATTTCCCCACCATGCATGTGCACGTGTGCATGCATACACACAAGATTGTACAATGAGGGTTGGCCCTGGCAGCAGGGAATGCCTATGGCAGCTTTTGCACTGCATTAGGAAGGGTCTTCTGCTGAGACTGGGGGGGTTTTCTTCCTACTTCATCCCCCACCCCCTCAGCAGGGAGCCCAGCACAGCCCAGCTCTGAAATAGCTGAGAAAGCTTCTAGCCCACTAAGGAGGCATCAGGCTGGGTTTGCTGTAGGAGTGGGGAAGCAGGGGCATTTCTCTCTGTCTGGGTCTGTGGGCTTCACAGCAAGCAGTGAGTCCTTCTGACGCAGACACAGAGCAAGGGTGCCTCCTGCATAGCTGGAAGTGGGGCTGAGTGGGCATTTCAGCCTCCAAAGCAGGCACTGTCTGTATACAGCCCAGAGATGCCCCTACCTCAGCTCCCTCCATCAGCTACACAAGCAGCCCCTTGTAACCAGCATGTGTCCCCCCACCCTGGTGCCTACAGAGACCCCCAAGGAACTCTATCACATTCCCAGGGTCAGTTGGGGGGGTCCCATTTTTCATGGGCTCAGTGAATCAGACTAGTGAGTAACAAGCAAGCTGATACTAAGTCATCAGCTCCCCCCTGGGCTGTGCTGGGACAGAGCGAGACCTATGGCACAATCAAGAAACAATTGGGTTTGATGCCAGGGTCCAGCTTCCTCATCATCAGCTACTTGTGAGGCTGCCCGGGCATCAGCCTTCGCTGCAGTGAGTGCAAACTGCTCTAAGCCAGCTCCAGCCCAGAAAAGTTCCCACAGGACAAGCAGCGGCTCTGCTGGCTAGTTTGCCCTTGAGTGACTATACCTCTGACTGGGGACCAGTGTCTGAAATTCCTCTATGCAGAAAAGGCCTTAATCCAGGGGTGGCCAACTTGCAGCATGCATGCCATGAGTGGCATGAGTAGCCTCTGCATGTGGCACACAGCAAGTCAGCGAAGGGACAGGCAGCATGGTGGCAGAAGGGGTACAAAGCAGAGCAGCAGCTTGGGCAGGGAGCACCAATCACCCACTTTTTCATTGCCGTTGGCAGCAATAGGGGAAGTGGAGATTCCCTTAGAGCACAGCCTGGATACCTGGGGTGCACCTGTTTTCTGTATTAAAACTAGGGACATGCCTGGCTGGCC